TAAGTAATAGACCAAAGATTGCCCATTTGAAATTATACCTCATGTTTAAACACTATCTACATAAGAACCAGCAGCCAATTCCCGAAGGACTGGCCGAGATAAAGCTCTTATCGGCGTGTACATGAGGCCTGAAGCTCACATCTACGAAAAAATCGTAACAAATTATCAAATAGGCGCTATGTTTATATATAGGTTCGCATATTTGAGGTCTAAATAACTACATTCTCACCTAAATTCTTAAAATTCTCTACATTCTGTTTCACAACAACAGTAGTATTTTTAAAATGATGGTGGTTTGCTCGTCGGCCATTCTCACATAATCACTGGAAAAGGCTCTCAGCCAATCAGAATTGAGATGTTGTATAATAAATAATATCCAACGCTTATGTAAGCGAGTACAGCGCAGATCACTGACGGCTGTCCTGTTACTCAGTCATTTTTGAGTCAGTGAAGGGACCATGAAGAATACATTTGTCATAGAGTGAGGATGAATCAGATGTGTGAAAGAGCTTTGAGACAGTGTGCCATCTCTGTGTTTTATAATATAACAAGACGGGATATGATTGTGTTTCAATGAAGTGGGTCAATGGAGCAGATATAGAATATTATAAAATAAAATAAAAAACTGCAAAATAAGTGATAAATAGATGGATAGATAAAGAGAGAGAGACAGACATTGTGTGTCATGTAAAGATATGTAATTTTTTTAAAATGTTTTGTCAGATCTCGTTACATTCAGTCAGGAAATGAAGCTCTGTCTCTCTCTCTCTCTTTCACTCTCAATCTCATTCTCACGCTCTCACTCACTCTTGGTCCACCAGCCACACCACATCCATATTTACATGGTGTTTCTATGGCCTGTTCTCAAACGACTGCTCCCCCCTGCTATCTTTAATGGAGGCTTTCCTCTCCCAGTGTTACTATGTCAGAACGCCTATCATTTGTAAAGCCGGGTGTTTGCGGTGAGACGATGGTCGTCCGCCGTAAGTCGACGGGGCCTCCTGGACCCCCGGAAGAGTTGAAAATGAAGGCTGCGCACGCAACCTCCTCAGTCTCCAGGGAACAAACGTTGAGTGTGTTACGGTGCATTAATATCATCAAACACACCATGGGAATTTTTTGAAGTGCCACCATGTGAGGGGCTTTACACAGCTAGGAATACAGCCATTACGCTAGTGGTGAGGAGCTAGCAGCGATTTAGCTGTGTGTTATTTTCAAGAGATGGAATCATTAAGTACACAGCTTCTCTCAAATTGCAATATAATGTCAATGCAGTGGCTGAATATTTCCAGTTTCTGTGGAAATTTGATCATAATATCTTTAACATGTTTCTCGTCATGAATATTACAAGCATTTTAAATTACTTTAGGGTTGTTTTTTTTTAGAAAAGGTTTCATTTTGTGCTGGATATGAAGCATTACATCCTCTCAATTATTATTATTATTATTATTCAGCCTGGAATTTTAATCCAATTGAAAAAAATGTTGGGTAGTGAGCTGGTTTTCGTCGCACCCCAGTGCTCTAATTGATTGATTAAAGTAATTGATTGGTTTGAGAGGTGCTGCAACTGATTAAAATGCTTTCAGACATGAGCAGATTGAAAGGCAGCATGTACCAGCACACTCTCTGGCCCCCAGGGGCCCATGTCTGGCTCTCCTCGAGGAGCAGAGACAGTGGATGTACGTTTGTGTGTGTACGGTCCATCTGGTCAGTGGAATTCAAGTCTCTGGTTAGCTGGCTTACATGTGTCTTGTTTATTTCCAAATCATTTAGACATCCATTGTTTTAGCTCACATAATCACTGCAACATTTGTTTGATTTGAAAAGAAGAAGAAAAAACTGGGGGTGATTAACTTTATCTATCTATCTATCTATCTATCTATCTATCTATCTATCTATCTATCTATCTATCTATCTATCTATCTATCTATCTATCTATCTATCTATCTGTCTGTCTGTCTGTCATGAAAACTTTCTGCTTTTATACCTCCATTTTTGAAGATATTTGTTTAGAATTCTTTGCAATTCAATGGCTGAATGCAGCAAGCACAACATCTTGCTTTTTGCATTTAGCATAAATTCATGTGTAAAAGATCATAGAAAAGCATAGCAGTGCATTACATTTACAGCACTTTCATATTGAAACTGAATAATCAACTGGCAGCATTTATGCACAGAGGGCAGTTATTCCTTGTTGAAGGTTGTCCAAAGGGTTTTGCTCCCTGTCCAGAATGACTCAGCATGTTATGATGTCACTGTTTTTCCCCTCTCTTCCACATTATACAGTAAATGCATGTTCTGCTTTTATTCTGTGTTAAACAAAGGGAGAAACATGGCCCCACCATCCTGAGGGAGATTTGACAGTCTTTTTTTCTCGTGAACAAATGACAGGAGTGTTTTATCAAAGCAGGAGATTTTGCTAGAGGCTGGATGTGTGAGTGTGTGAATGTGTTTTCCTGTGTGTGACCAAGTGCCTGTCTGAAGATGACATGCTGATGAGGCCTGGGAATGAAATTCAAAAAGCTGTTTTTGATGTCACAGTGATTTGCCATTCACAAACCATTCTAATTATTTAAGGTGGTGCATTTCTGAGTTTTTGTCAATAACAAAAGAAAATTAGGGGGAATTTGATTTCATCGTTTATGAGTTCAGTGAATTATGAAAAGAGGTGTTATTTACCAGAATGGAGCTAAAATATAACAAATTTGGATATTGGTTAAATTGGAAAAGCAAGGTTGTTTTAAAGGAAGAATAATCTTTGTCAACACTATTTCAATAGTCTACTTTCTTACTTAGACATTCTACTAACTATAAGTAACTTTGCCACTATATGTCAACTAACTATCATTCGTGTATTAGTAGACTGTCTGGTTAATATATGCAAACACTTTATTCGTATGGTCCGCCAACAGACATTTTACTGACTACAAGTAACTTTGCAAGTACATGCCAACTTATTCTAACCCTAACAGTCTAATCCTCTAATGAGAGTTAAGGTTACTTATAGTTATTAGAATGTCTAAAGTGGACTATCAAAATAGTGTGTAACCCTTTAGATTGCATAGACGAACTGGTTTTACTATAAAAAAAAAAAAACATGCACTGATGAATTTTGAGACCATGAACATATAGTAACAAAGTAAATATTTTAATTTTATGGTGACTTTATGAAAAAATAAACTTCTCTTTTAGCTAGGGTTTCTTTTAAACGTTTAGTTTTCTAGAAGGAGTCTGAGAATAGATCGAATTATGAGTTAGCAGTGTATGAATTGGAACCTGTTTGGTTTGTGGTAATGGCTAACAGTCGTCAGGGATGGCTAACAAGCTCTAACCAGGCATGGAACAGCCTTGGCTGCAGGCAGGCACCAGGCTTCAGGTCCAGTAGATTTGGCATCATATGAGAAGAGAAAGGGGACTCGTGCAGAAAAAGAGAGAGTCAAAATTTGGGGGACATATTGACTTTTTTGGCAAGAACTCTAAGGTGGGAGTGTAAAAAAAAAAAAGAATAGATGAAAAGAAAAAGAAAAAAACAGAGAACAGTGTTTACACTGTTTACACTGTTTACAGAGAACAGTGGACCTGTTACAGGAGGGAATGAGAGAGGAGAGAATAAAAGAGAGCTGAGCACTGGAGGAATGCTGATCTCTGCATATTTAGCTGACAGATGGCTGAAATACAGGTATTTTTACCTACAGTCAGGTCAAATCACTCAGATCCTGTAGATCAGTGGTTCTCGATGGATTGCTCAGGAGTCAAAAGTGAGTCTCTGGTCTTTTTTTCGCATTGTCGTTGAAAAGAGCTATGGAACACAAGAGAATGCAGATGTTTAATAAATAATAATTTAATAATAAATCCCACATCTGCTGTTCTTTCTGCATTAACAAAATTATCAAAATGATCATGTTAATATTTTTTTCTGTATTATTCTAGTATTATGGTAGCCTGGTTAAAACCAGACCATTCTCAGTTGTAACTAAGTTATGGTCTGGCAAAGCGTCATCGACAAATCATTTCCAGAGGGACGTCGCGGATAGACCTAAAACCAATCAGAGCGATGAAGGAGATGACATATGCAGAGCGGCGGAGAAACATCTCCGAGTGTTGTTCTTTGCTCGGTTTTTAACAAAAAGGAAACGTTCAAATCGCTTAAAACAGACGCGATAGCTGATTCGAACAAGTGATGTTCGACGGCGGCATCCATCTTTGTAACGTAGGCTACAAAATCCGCTTCAAAATCCCAGCGCTGTCATCATCGTGTAAAGCCCACCCCAACGTTTCTGATTGGTGCCGCGATTTCGGCGGATTGGAAATGGGCTTGAATGAGCTCTCTGCCAGACTAACTTTCAGAGCAAATCTAAATTTGCCGGAAGTTGTCTTGGTCTTCCCAGGCTGGTATTATGGTAGTATTAAGGAGGTTTTTGTTTTCTAGTTTTGTAGAATAGAACTTTTTACTACTGTGATGGGTCATGTCCAATGTAAAACCAGTTGGGAACCACTGCTATAGACATTGAGCCTTCAACCTCAGCTGAAACAATCTCGGCTCTCCGCCAAACGCTGAATTTAATTGCTGCTTGGATCATATCAAACAGCACGATTGTCTTTCCACAGATGAGCGTTTGATAGCAGCCTGAACTCAAATAATACATCAATCCAGATCAAACAGACTGCGAGCTCTCGCCTTGTCTCTGCTCAGCTTTCATTAGAACTAACTGCCTGGGGGACTCAACAAACCACATATTTTCAATCCTTAGAGAAACCTTGGATTTAATGTAAAAATCAATGCTTGTTCTGCCTGTTTCCTGTTCAGCTCTGTTCTGAGGTCTCGCAAAGAGGGCATCTCTGTAAATAAACGTATTGTATTCGTGCTTTGCTAAATTCTCGTTACGCCGCTAATAGGGATGAGCCCACGGAAATCCAGGCTCTCCGGGCTGCTTTTTTGATCATGCTTAGGCTTGCCGTCGCAGCTTTTGACCTCCGTTTTCTCTTCCTGTCTCTCGCAGATAATGACGACCATAAGAAAGAAGACGATGCCAGAGTGGAGCAGGGTGAGTGACAGTGTTTCCTAATGCTGTTTTCACGTTTGCAAACAAGATGGGAAATTATCACATCCAATATCCTGGAGCCCAACAATGTTTAATCCACGGCATCTGAAATGCTCGCTCCATGATTAATCGAGCCTTTTGTTGTGGGTGGCAGCTCTACAATTGCCTATAAACAAGAAAACAAGAGTCTGCATTTTCTGAAATAGTTTAGCTGGCTTTCCCATGCACACCTTTGGTCTTTTGGCGAGTTAATTGAGATGAAGGTTGTCAGGCGTTGTGCTTTTGCAAGACTGAATTGTTTTGCACCATAGTCAGATAGATTGAATGCTAATCGGACTCGCTCGCCACCTTGTTGGAAATGACACAATCAAACATTATCAAATGGGATTCCAATTGGCTTTGCAGGTCTTCTTTTAACGGCGGTCTATTCAGATGCAAATCACCTTACCTTCTTTGTTGACTTTCAGAAAAGATTACAAGGTTTTCATCTGCAGGCCTCCTTGACTGTACATTAACAGTGGCAAAAAGAGAGAGAAAATAAAGGTGTTTCTTTGTGACTAATGCGTGTTTTCTACCGGAGCTAAATAGAAGGCTGCAGGTAGCATTACAAATGATTCAGTGCTAAGCTAATTCCCAGCGCTAGACCCTTAAATCCAGCTTACATACCCACAATGTTCCCAAACCTGCTTAAGCGACTGTCAAAAAGACAACTGAGCATCGTACAGTGGTAATCTAATCTGGGTTTATCTCTAGGTTTAGCCTGGACTACAAAACCAGTACAAATCGGATGATACCAGTCCTTGAGATTGCTATACTAGAGTTTCAGTCAGATTACAGTAGCAGTAGAACTAATAATAATAATAATAAAAAAAAAAAAACTTAAAAAAAACTAATTGTTGCTTTATCACCTAAATGAAATGCAATAAGTTTAAATTGAGGAACAAAAATCGCTACAACTAAAACTGAAATAAAAAAATAAGTTACACAAAACTTACTAGAGATTTCTTGACACTCACTTGACTCGAATGACTAGAACGAAAAGTGAAAATATAATAATAAAAACCCTATCAAAATATTAATAAATACTATGCTAATAATATATAATAATGTTAAAATAACTAACAAAGTACAGTAGGTTTATTGTTGAGCTGGAAGGCTGAACCCAGGTCAAACATCTCCAACAGTCACTTAAACTTTAAGGAATTATAAGATGGAAGTTTCCTGGCAAGGTAACAAGGCCAGCATTGATCGTTTCCACAAAAGTTAGGTGATTGAAAATACAGAGGGTGAAAGGAGTGCTAAATGAAGCATCTTAGAGGAGGAGAACATGTTCATGCCTCAACGACATGAAGCAAAAAAAACAAAAAAACAGGGCTGCATGCTGTGATTTTTACTACCAATGTGAGAAGCTGTTCACATGACTGTATCTGTAAGTCAAGACGGCCATCAAAACTAGATCCAATCCAGAACAAGCGTTTTTTCAGCATTGACTTTTTTACAGCCGTGTTATAAAACGGTATTCAGAAGCAATCCAACAAGCCTCTAATAGCCCTCGGAACTACTGTGATTCCTGGGGTCGTGCCTTTGTGTGGTTGTGTTTACTACTGCACAAAACCAGGGAGACCAATCACCTCTTTGTGGGTGCTGTTATACCTCATTGTAAACACTGGACCGGGATGACCCGGCATGGCAACACGTATCAGGATTCTATCTTGTTCACAACATGCCATGTATCACATCTGCACGCACACACACAGTAGCTCCGAGCACACTGCTTTTCCTGCTCCAGCAGTTTCGGCTAGCTTAGCCTCAGTTTCGTTCAGTGAATGTCTGACTGGCAGCCAAGCCATGGCCTTTAGCAGCGCTTCACTTAGCCAGGGCTCTGATTCTCTCTCTTTTTCTCAGGAACCAATTCAAAGGCTCAAATGGTTGCCGTTCTCACAAGGAATTGAGCCTTTTTTTTCCCTTTATCCCCCCTGTATCAGCTCTCTCCCACTCTCTATCAATCAATCCGATTCTCTCCCTCTCTCTGTTTCACCTTCTTTTTCTTGCTGTCTTTCACCAAAATCCCTTACACTACACTTTTACATGCCCCATTTTTTATCAGCTGGGTTTTACCGAGGCACACAAAAGCCCCTGTTGATGCAGAATCACCTGGTTCATGTATGCACTCCCATCAGGGCCTACGACACAATAGCAGGATATTCCTCCGCTCATTTCACCCTTATCAGTGCTGCTCAGGATAGGCAATCTGTGCCTCGTAACCTTAGATGCTTTTTGTTGTTGTTGTGGTGAGCTGGCAAGTTGCCCCTTTTCAGTTCTGAGATTAATAGAGGTTTTTTTTTATTTTATTTTTTTTTTTATAAAGAGATAAAAGAGAACTACAAACTATATTTCTTAATATTTGTTGTGCAATTTGTTAATACTGTAATTATTATTGCTAAGACGTATTGTAAAGGTTATTGATACTGTAAAATCAAATGTATTTTTATTTTATTTTATTATTTTATGTGTGAAAAATCTAGTTTTTGGATTAAAGTTCTCATGAGTGGCATGATGATTTTTGACAGGTAACACGCAGCCCATGGAAGGAGGGGAAGAAGATGACGATGATGATGCTGATAAAAAAGGTATGAGAAAATCTCTGTTCTTGTGATCGTAAGTTCAGCTGTCAAAGTCCGTATCACCCAGCCATTGTTGAGGGAAAATCAGACTAAAAGAAGGTGTCTCTTCGGGTTGTTCGGTCAGGGTGTGGAAACCTGTTTAAGGAGCCATTAGCTTTCGAATTCTGCCGTTTCAGCCTCTTTGGTTGTAGCACTGAAACAATTACTTGCTTCTCAATAAAACGGACCAAAGATAATTAAATTCGTATACTGAAGGGGAGTAGCAGGCTATTAACACCACAATTTCTCCATTTGTCTTTGAGCCAGAGGGTTGGAGATGGTGTTTTTTTTTTTTCTTTAATATTAAAGCAGGCAGCACTGATGTCTTTGGGGAAATTTCCCCAGGCTGATATCTCTCTTCAATATGCAGCACAAAGAATGGAGTCATTTTTTCAGTAAACTGATACTTTTGTCCTTCTAAATAGCAAACATATTCCAGGACTACCCTTACAAACATTTACCATAGTTTCTGGCAAAATACTGATACTACTACGACGACTATTACTACTATTATTCATTTATTTATTTTTATTTTTAAAATAATGTATTTATTTGTTTGTTTGTCATTAGTTTGAAGTCATTTTTTCAGTAAACTGATACTTTAGCAAACAACAACCTACCATATTTTGTCCTTCTAAATAGCAAACATATTCCAGGACTACCCTTACAAACATTTACCATAGTTTCTGCCAAAATACTGATACTACTTTTATTTATTTATTTATTTGTTTATTTTTTAATGTATTTACTTATGTTTAAAACAAATTAAACGTATGATTAAAATATTTTATTTGTTTGTTTTTAAATGTATTTTGTCTTTGCTGGAAGCTGTAAATGTTTATAAGGGTATGTCTAAACAAATTCAGACTGTATTTTGTGTCACTACCTTCATAACGTCTTGCATATGAACTCTGATCTTAATGGGAGCTAATCCATTCACAAACCCCCTTGTTTAACCTTCACGGGATGGCGTCAACATTAAAGCTATCTGCAGAAGTTAAGCTCAAACAACAAACAGCATTTGTTACAAGGGAGTGAAGAGCAGAACAAAGCGTGTTAAAGCAGCAGAGTCTATGATTTATCCACAGGTGTTAGCCACAGCCGTCCTCTAGTGCTGTCGCCAACATCAAATGCACTCGCTCTAATGCGGTGTCACTCGGAGAACAAGGTACAGCAGCACATTAAATATGTTTTTGAAATCATTTTTTGATTCATGGAAAATGAGCTTTTCCTGCACATTACCCTAGCGCCAGAGCTTGCAGCTCCAGCTCGCCTATCGAATTCCCGCCGGCCGCAACTTTGTTTTTCATGAACAGAGGAAGTTGATATACAGCCGTGGTGGGATATTGCTTTGTATTACACATTCAGTACTCTCCCTGAGGGGGATGCTCTCTAACTGAGGTTAGAGCAAGAGGGCCTTTTAGACAGCCCGTTAATGACAGAGAAACATTAGTGCTGTTCTCCCTAAAGCAGCACTTCATACATTCACATGCTCAGGGGACAACTGGCCCCGAAAGCACTGATCTGGAACTCTCTCTCTCTCCGTGTTCCTCGACGGGTTACCTGTGAGGAGTGTAAAGGAAAACAGTACCTCATTCCAGATAAGCTCCCACTTGCCTTCCTTCACAGCGAAGGAATGTGCGAATCTCAGAGGTTCTTCTTTCTGGTTGAGAGACAGACAGACTGAAGGGGTTTTCCGAGGGCATTAGCTTGCGGCTGGCGGGTTTAGTCTCAGTTAGTGAAGACACGCAGAAGAATCCGTTCGATCCGACCTATCAGCGCCGGGTTGTGGCCTAAGAGAGCCGGCGAGCTGCTTGGGTGAAGAGACTAGATTTCTTGACAGAGTTCTTGGGGGATAAAGTGATTTGTGATGTAATCCACGTGAAATCCATACATGGGGGATCTGTGTGTGGAGAAAATGAGAAGGATTGTTCACAGAACTGGACTGAGCATTTCAGCGCCCCCGGATAGCTTTTCAGATGGCCTATGAAGTGAGTGTATGTTTAGCGTGTGTGTCGTGGTGCATTTCAGAGATTAGGAGGTGACAGGTTAGATGGGCGAATCAGGACGCGGAGCATCAGGTCGAGCTGTTAACTGTGTACTCAGCAGATGTAGAAGGCAGAGGGGGCATGTTTGGAGAGGGAGAGAAAAAGAGAACAAGTCTGTGTGTGGAGGAAAGAAAGGGATAAAAGGCATCATATCCACATCTCTAAACTTATGCTAATGCTTTTAGTCTTATTCTCTTTTAGCTTAACCTCATTAATTAACACTTTATTGGCGCTCTCTGTATTATTCCCTTATTAAAAAAAGATTTACCCCTTAAGAGATTAATAGCATTTTTAAAAAATATATGTTTAAAATAATGTACACTCATGTGAAATACAGAATCCAGCATATCAGTAGCCTAATAAAAATCTCATATTTTGTTTCTTTTTTGCATGAGCTTTTTTGAGTTTTACTTGATTTTTTGTTGTTGTTGTAAATTTAAATATATTGGACAAATCAATTGAATAAACACAGTAAATTAAGTTTAGATTACTAAAATAAAAAATATATTTTTTTACAGTGTACAGGGAGACTGCCATATTGATATTTATTTTATTTTATTGAATATATTTTGCTTTGTTTTTAATCTAATGTTTGTATTTAAAAAAAAAATTTTTTTACTTTATTGAAATTTTGTTTTAGAATAAAATAGAATATTTACACAAGAAAGCTGAAATAAAACTTAGTGCAATAAATATTTTGTCTTTTTATAAAATTCAGTGTTGCTACTTTTATTTTTATTTAATTTTTTTTGCATCACTTGTATCTTATAATTTTCATTGCTTTTTACCTTGTTTACACTGCTATTATTATTATTATTTTAGAGCATTTTAATATATCTTACATAATTTCTTATCGCACTCACGTTGTAGGCCTAAATGTTTTTCATGCCATTTAGGCTCACAAAAAAATTATATGAACCAAATGTGTTTGACAGAAATAAAGATAGAATGTGTGTGAAGAATGTATGTGAGAGAAAGATAAAGGCAATGAAATAGCAAAAAAAAAAAAAACACACAACAAGAGGATGGGAAGAAATACAGAGCGGGAGGGTTCAAGCGACAGAAAGCTTCAATGATGCATTCATACCGAGGGTGGGCGGCTTTACAATTGTATATTGTGGATAGTGGCTCAAGTGTCTCCAAGTCCACAGTTTTGCACAGCTGGAAACACGTCCGTTAAGCTCCGACCCTGGTAGAGAGTGAGACACTGAATCAAAAGACACTGCACCGCATGAGCTACGTGCAGCTCTTAAAGTGGAAGCCAACACACACACACACACACACACAGAAGGGAGATTCTAGGCCGCTGAGCAGCATCTGTTGATTGTGACACTCTCGCTCACCTTTCTCTCTCAAGTCTCATACATTTTTCATGGTGCCGGTTTTCTTCACCATGAACTGTGTTCAGAGGGCCTGACTGACAGGAAGGAGAATTCCCCACAGTGTGAAGGGAAGGAAGTGCTCTGACTATTCTGTATGATTACAGATCCATAGTAATGTGACTGTAAATGTATGGCATTAGAAATATTTTCTAGATAGCTCACAGAAGTGTTTCTGCTTGTATGCAAGCGAGCGTCCTCCTCCTGAACGTGTGCATTCATTTATGAGTGTGTACGAGTTTATGGCTGTCATTTGAACTCTGTTACACTACTGCCATCTGCTGGTGGAATGACTCACTGCGGGGATAGAGGTTCATGTCGTTATTCAGCATATTGGCTTCATAAAATCATAAATTAACAACGCCAAATGCTTGTTTTCACAGCCTCAAATCTCCCTCCGAAGTTTGTACTCAGGCTTTGCTCGCCTTAGTTATTGTTGATCCGATGTATAATAGACAAGACGTCATTTTTGATGGATGTGAATTCTCTCTGGGTTATTTCAATGTCTCTCTTGCAGGCTAAGATAATAAAACTGCTGAAGAAATTTTAAGTCATAAAAATTGCTTACTCATATTTTGAAACTTTGAAACCTTTCACCTTTTACTACTTTAACTTTGATTTAGCTACTTCCCATTTAGAAGAGGACAACGTGAAAGCATGCATGACTCATTTTAGTTCTCGTCTCTCAGAATAATTTGGCTTTGTCTCCATGGTTATCTCTCACTGGTGTACGTGGTGACCATATGACCTCGCATTGAAACTGAGAAGATTTATCATCTAAGTATTTCAGAATCCAATTTATCTTCAGGTTCCTCACAAGAATACCATCAAAGACAGTGGTGCATGTCAACCTTTTTAGCAAGAAGAGGATGCTATGTCTTAACCCCACGCACAGGATCGTGGGTTAACATTGATCTGAATATGCCTTAATACTTCCCTTCCTTCCTTTCTTCTTTCCTTCCTGTGCAGGCAGCATTTTTAAGTTATGTCCTCAAAGTACTATTACCCGTATAGTCCACAGGGGGACTAACCTCTTCCCACATTATAATTCATATAGAGGGTAAAACATTGAGTTCCAGCCTCTGGGTAAAAGGCCTCTGCCCTCTAAATGAATAAAATGTCACTACATCATAATCTGCAGTTATTGGTTTATCAATATTGAGGATGAAGGTCCAGTGGGTGTGAAGCTGCATTTGATTGACAGCACCACTAGACACAAGGCTGACAACAAATCATGTTACCTTTTACGAAGGTTTGCCATGTCTTTTGGCACATTGTGTTTGTTTTCTTTTTTTTTTTAAGAGCATGTGGTGAGAAAATAATTTGCTCAGACATTGGGAAATTGCTTCTCACACCAGCTTGTTAAAAAAGCCAATTATGTCAGTAGCGTAATGGTCATTGTCAAGCACAGCGGATTATTTGTGTCAGGCTCTTCATTTTCCAATTCATGCCAGACCCTATCTGGGTTACAGAAAGAGAGAATCTGGGAGAGTATCGGGATGTCACTGAAGAGAGGAGAGGGGAGAAGGAGATGTCGAGTTTAGAGGACTAAAGTGCATGACTAAAATTAAAGTGACAAAATGAAACCCACCTGGGATAGACGCTTTCATGTAAGCCCATGGGGAGCACTGCAGCGGGCTCATGGGAGTTCTGTGTGGGGTTTGCTGAGATGTATTTAGCTGTCCGTTGCGACTGCTCTCGGTGGAGTCTAGAGATTTTCAAAAAGTGCAAAATTAGTGCAGCGACGAAACATCCAGCATGCCAGAACTATTATAAATATTTGATGTAAAACATGACCATAGCAGTACAGCGTTCCTCAAGACAAATGTGTGGACTACTTTATTAGGGATCTTGAGGGAAGATAAATATGCCAAACAGCATTTTAATATGCCCGTCAATGTACTGGGGTTATGATACTGTAGTATTTTGTGTGTGTGTGTGTGTGTGTGTGTTTGTTTAGATTTAGATTTTCTGTTGATTTTATCTGCTTTGTTGTGTTTTCTCATGTTTTTCTGTTTTGTTTTGCTTAGATTTTTGTTTTGTTTTTATTGTTTTGTTATGTTTCTATGTGTTTTTCTAATTTTTGCATTGCTTTTTTTCTGTTGTTTTGTTTGACACAATAATTTCAACATGTATGTCTACACTAAATACTCTTTTTTTGTATTCTTCTTTTTTTTAGATGAAAGTATGATGAGCCAGACAGGTAGGCCTTTCATGTATGATCGTTTATAGCTACGGGAATTTCTTTGACCTTGTACAAAACCCAGATACAAAATAATTTCTGAGTAGTTATAGTTTACAAGCAAGAAGAGCAGATCTGCTTGTCTCTTCTGAAAGACACGTCACATTAAAATGTTCCTGTCTTGTCTGCAATTGAGCAAAAGCAATTTGTCTGAACTTCATGATTTATTTTACATGCTGGTTGGTTTGTTCTATTCAGAACAAAATGTACTCCTGAACTTGAACAGCATCATGAGTTTAAATAGTTGAAACTGAAGATGGTATTAAATCATCTGTGATGCTGTAATATCACATTTTTACATCAAAATCACACTGAGGTTTCTCATCCTCAGTTATCTATTAAGAAGAAGACTTGTTTGATAATCAAACATCAGCTGGAGTCTTTCCTGTTCCTCTTCACAGATGATTTTGGGGTTTCATTTCTGCTTGCCAGCAGCAGGAGTGATTAGATAACAATCATCCTCTCATCTTTAATATAGGATTAGCCACTGCAGTTTGATGAAAGGACCAGAAAAAGGATTTGTTGCTTTTAAGAAGGGGATTTTAGAAGAAAGACACAAATCTTGTCATTAAGTTTTTCTCTTTTTTGATTTCAGAGGAATCCCATGTTGATGAGACGATGGAAAGCCAGAAGCCAGAAGGTTTTTCTTCATTCTCTTTTTCTTCTTAAATTTTAGTCTGGATTACTACAAGATCCACTGAGCACCAATGGGGTGATGCTCACCCACACAGTGGTCATTATACCTTGAGCACTTAAGAAACACTTACAAATTTGTGAAAGTGCGTTAGATCGAATATTAAACAATTTTGATAAATATAGCATGCAAAACATCTAACAAAATAAGTTTCTAGGGATTTAAATGATTAAACAAGATATATATTATTCAAAATTATTAAATAATACTTGACACCGCCACAAGCCCTTGCACCATTTGTTTGCATTTTGTTTGACATTCATTCATATTTATGACATCATACATACAGTATTTAGGTGTATGACCACTATATACTCCCTTATTTTTCATAATATCCAGTAGTCAAGGACAACAAGAATCAGTACATATGCAAACTAGGTCTGGCTGTGTGGTTCAGTATACATAGATCTCATGCTGTCTACATTTTAGTGAGCGAGAAAATTCAGTCTCTCCACAGTCTTTACGCTTCATGTGTCACGCTGTACCCATTCACTGAAGGATCTGGATTGGCTCTGTTGTCCTTGAACTTGTCTCATTACGGACAGGGAGAGCGGCTGTCAGATACAGTTATTAGCGTGACGCTCGTGTGCGTGTATGTGTGTGTTTGGGGGTGCATCTGTTTAATGAGACACCTCGCTCCAATCCACACGAACGTACACAGACAGACATCAGAACATGTGCACCGACAGACACACACCACTGCACACGCTGAAATGATTCACCAGATCGCTTGTACACACACACATACTCTCAGAGGCGCTGGCCCGGCTCCCTCTGGGTATTCATGTAGCGTGATAGAAACTTTACGTTCAAAACCTGAGGACGAAACCAGCCCCGGCTTGGCTCTGAATCGCATTTGATCACTCATAAGCCGCTGTTTTGTTTTTGGTTGGGAGTATCGACTTATTACCGAAGTACCAGTGCTTTTGACATCATTATTGACAAATTTAGATTCCCCCTACATTGACAGTAGTAGCTATAAGCATTATTAATAGTCGTCTCGCCAGGCAGAGGAGGCAAAGAAAATGTTCTGCTTGGACCGAACCCAAGATACTTGCAATTATGCTCCCTGGAGAAAACAAAAACAGTGAGATTTTTAAGACCAGGTGAGGCAGAGCTGAAGATTGTGCAGAGACAGAGGCTGAATCTGAATTTACCTGAGCACCTGCGACACATGAATCATTCCCCTATGAGTGCAAACCAGCATATAAAAACGCCTTTGTATTGTTTTTCCACTTTTGTTTGCTCATTCATGAATGTTTCTCTATGTATTTTGTGTGTATTATTGTAATGTGTGTGTACCAGGGATGTTTCCTCCGACTAGGCAAGGGAGGCAATGCCTCCTCAAAACAATAATCCATATTACAAAATGTGACATTAAAACATGTATAAATCACTCGTTAGCGACAACCGCAGGTAAAGTTACAGCGGGAGGCCGTGTCTCACGTGCCTCCCCTGAGCCCATTGAGTTTGAACAGACCTCCTAAACGTGCAGTGGGTTTGGTGGAGGGTAAATGAGAATGAAAGGGGGAAAGTCACATGCGAGGAGGCCATGCCTCCATCGTGCTATGATGGGATATGATTGGTTATGAAATGCAAGCCACTGGTGTGTACATATACATACATTAAAAATGACATATATATTATATTATACATATACACTGATGAGCCAAAACATTATGACCAGTCATAGGTGAAGCGAATACTGTTGTTCATCTCCTAACAAGGTCGCATATTAAGGTATGGGTAGATTAGATGGTAAACAAACAATAGGTTCTCGTAATCAACGTGTTGGCTGGAGGAGAAATTGACAATAATGAAGATCTAAGCAACTTTGTCAAGGGCCAAATCGTTATAGCAAGGTGACTTGGTCAGAGTTTTTCTGAAACTGCGAGGCTTGTGGGTTGCTCTCGGTCAGCAAAGGTGAGAATTTACCAACAGACGTCCGAGGAGGGCAAACCCCAAACCAGAGACTGGGTGTTGGGCGCCCAAGACTCATCGGTCCACGAGGGCAACAAAGGCTATCCCATCTGGTCCGAGCCAACAGAAGGTCTACTGTGGCACAAGTCACACTTCATTTTAATGATGGTTATGGGAGGAATGTGTCACAACACACAGTGCATCACACTTTGCTGTACATGGGGCTGCGTAGCCACAAACCAAACAGTGCTTATGACCCCTGTCCACTATCAAAAGCATGCGGAGGACCAACAATATATTAGGCAGATGGTCATAATATTTTAACTCATCTGTGTGTGTGTGTGTATACATACAATATTATATATATATATATATATATATATATATATATATATATATATATACTGTATATGTCATGTTTTTTTTCTGTTTGTTTGTTTTCTAAGCTGAGGGCCTTGATGGCGAACCTATGGTCCAGGAGGACAAAACACCTGCAAAGGAAGACCGTAAAGGTAACATATGTAGTCTGCCTCCTCAGCTCTTGCTCCATCTTTGGTTGTAATTCAAGCAACCAAATATCTTGATATTATGTCATATTTGAATAACACTTTACAATTTATAGTTAATGCATATGGTGTCATTACCTAACAATGAACAGTCATTTTTTACAACGTTTATTAATTTAAGTTAATTTAATTTATGGAATACACAGGGTTGCTCGATTATGGCAAAAACCATAATGACAATTATTTTGGTCAATATTGAAATTACTATTATTTATCACGATTATTAGTGGGCGATATAATCAAAGTCTTATTTCACGATACGAGTAACTTTAAATATCACTGAAATTTCACAATTATTGATACTTCAGCAAAATGGGTAGGTGTAGGGGCGGGGTCAGGGGTAGGTCATTCATATGAATTCGTACAAATTAGCCACCTCGTAAAATTAGTATGAATTGCCGTGAGACTGGGTTGGGTATTCAGATAGGTAATAGCCTACAACAACAAAAAATTGTATCAAATGTAAAACAACACTGCATATAACATTGCATACCGTAGTCATACTGTACACATTAAAATAGATTAATCCTTAATAAAGCTACTTTATTTAGTCAAGATCATTGAGTGATTTTCCTTTGTCATTTGTTGTTTGATTATCATTAATGACAGACTGCAGTATATTTATTAGGCTGCTGTCACTTTAAGAGCTAATACACGGATCCAATATACTGTTACACACGTTTTCTTTCTCAACTGTGTACGTTTACTTAAGGACGGCTTTCACAATGTGTTTATGTGAATACTCTCCAAAAAGACATTTTGACAAATTTGTGTGAACGCGTATCCAAAGGCCATTTGTTTATCTGCGTTCGGCTTGGACTCGGAGCGTGCACACAGAAAGCCTTCTGCGCTTTTAATAACACTGTTTAATATCAAACACGTCCCGTAGTTTAGCAACAGTAGACTGCATTTTACAACACTCACTTGTTTGTCTGATTTGGATGTCAAGGGCTTTTAGAGAAGAACAAAAGCACACCGCAAAAAAGGAAAGGAATGTGCTCTGGACAGATGAGGCAGCGGAACAATAATTGTTTTACCTAGATTATCTTGTATTCATAATCGTTAGAAGCCAAAACCAATTACTATTAATCGCACAGCTATAAGGATAACATATTAAAAATGTATTATATATACACTACTGTTCAAAAGTTTGGTGCTGATAAGATTTTTTAAGTCTTTTATGTTTACTAAGCCTGCATTTATTTGATCCAAAATACAGTAACAACGGTAATACTGTAAAATATATTTACAATTTAAAATAACTGTTTTCTATTTATTCTATCTATCTTAATCTCCTTTCTCTAACCAAAAAAGAAACTTAAAATGGTAAAGCTGGCTAAAATGTATCTGTTCTATACTCACAACTAGTGCTGCTCAATATAAAGAAAAATATACAATATGTGATGCAATAAAGAAAAATAATAAAGTGTGTTTCAGGTGACAAGTGCTTTTAAAAACAAAAAATGACATAACCAGCATACAATTTTCACAATACGCATATGTGCAATATTTCAGTAAATGTGATATATTGCGCAGCCTTACCCACAATGTTTGTTACCTCCTGTGGTTTAAAATGAGGTAAATACCATTTTCATATTCAAATAAACCTGCACTACTGACAGTAAGTGATAAAACAGTCTTGACATCATGGGTTTAAAGTACGAAAATCTGCTTTCCAACGCCACAGAAATACATTTACTTAAAAATGTAGCGATAAAGTGAGCAATCTGGACATGCAGTGAGATCAAGAGTCCTTGGGCGGCTGGTTATTAGAGCGGCAGTTACGAGAGTGTGTGTGGGTGATATAAGTCTTGCTTTCCTGCAGGATGCTGCATGAGTCTCGTTTTCTGTAAGTGAAGGACAGAGGGCTCCAGGGCTCCATATTGCCCAGGTGGTGCGATATGAGCCTCACACAAACAGCCAAACTACCCCACACACTTCCCACTCCTCTATTGATTATGTGCACGCATGTCTGTGTCCCTCTGAACTGCGACTTCAAACACTTTCCACGCAGATGGAGTCAGGGTGGACACGTGTGCATTAAATCCTGTTTTGTTTCTTTCATCTGATGTAGTGTGTATTTGTGTGTGGGCAAGGGCAAAATTGATGTCTTTTGCGGCCTTGTATCCCAATCCAGAGCAGACACAGGTGTTAGCTGGAACCGCACAGATGGATACTCTGACGCTCCATCCCTTTTAAAACAGAGAGAGATAGGGGTGAGATGGGAGGGAGAGAGACCTAAACTCAAATTAAAGGCATTAGGCTGAAACAGCTGCTCCAGTTCACCCCAAAGTGGCGGCTTAATACCGCTCGGTCTTAGGCAATGGGTCGCCTATTTCCTCTCCATTAAAACCATCATTTAGAACTCATCAAGATAATCTGAGAGCTGGTCCACCAATATTTCATCCCAGAATATACACAGTTATTATATCTTATTGCACACTTCTTAGCCGTTGTAGTGAGTTTACAGTGATTTGTTAGCTCTAACATCACATTTGTTGTATGTTTGAGTATAAAACATTTTAAAAAGCTAAGCCCAAGGAGCCTTGAACTGTGAACTGTGACCATTTGTTTCTTTTTGATATGTTGGCTGTTCAAATAAAAATGAAGTAAAACGAAATTATGTATACATATTACATATATGTACATGTACATATATATATACACTCACCTGCCACTTTATTAGGTACACCTGTCCAACTGCTCGTTAACACTTAATTTCTAAGCAGCCAATCACATGGCGGCAACTCAGTGCATTTAGGCATGTAGACATGGTCAAGACAATCTCCTGCAGTTCAAACCGAGCATCAGTATGGGGAAGAAAGGTGATTTGAGTGACTTTGAACGTGGCATGATTGTTGGTGCCAGAAGGGCTGGTCTGAGTATTTCAGAAACTGCTAATCTACTGGGATTTTCACGCACAACCATCTCTAGGGTTTACAGAGAATGGTCCGAAAAAGAAAAAACATCCAGTGAGCGGCAGTTCTGTGGGCGGAAATGCCTTGTTGATGCCAGAGGTCAGAGGAGAATGGCCAGACTGGTTCGAGCTGATAGAAGGGCAACAGTGACTGAAATAACCACTCGTTACAACCGAGGTATGCAGCAAAGCATTTGTGAAGCCACAACACGCACAACCTTGAGGCGGATGGGCTACAACAGCAGAAGACTCCACCGGGTACCACTCATCTCCACTACAAATAGGAAAAAGAGGCTACAATTTGCAAGAGCTCACCAAAATTGAACAGTTGAAGACTGGAAAAATGTTGCCTGGTCTGATGAGTCTCGATTTCTGTTGAGACATTCAGATGTTAGAGTCAGAATTTGGCGTAAACAGAATGAGAACATGGAACCATCATGCCTTGTTACCACTGTGCAGGCTGGTGGTGGTGGTGTAATGGTGTGGGGGATGTTTTCCTGGCACACTTTAGGCCCCTTAGTGCCAATTGGGTATCGTTTAAATGCCACGGCCTACCTGAGCATTGTTTCTGACCATGTCCATCCCTTTATGGCCACCATGTACCCATCCTCTGATGGCTACTTCCACCATGTCACAAAGCTCTAATCATTTCAAATTGGTTTCTTGGACATGACAATGAGTTCACTGTACTAAAATGGCCTCCACAGTCACCAGATCTCAACCCAATAGAGCATCTTTGGGATGTGGTGGAACGGGAGATTCGCATCATGGATGTGCAGCCGACAAATCTGCGGCAACTGTGTGATGCCATCATGTCAATATGGACCAAACTCCCTGAGGAATGCTTCCAGCACCTTGTTGAATCTATGCCACGAAGAATTGAGGCAGTTCTGAAGGCAAAAGGGGGTCCAACCCGTTACTAGCATGGGGTACCTAATAAAGTGGCCGGTGAGTGTATATACTGTATATATATATATACACTCACCTGCCACTTTATTAGGTACACCTGTCCAACTGCTCGTTAACACTTAATTTCTAAGCAGCCAATCACATGGCGGCAACTCAGTGCATTTAGGCATGTAGACATGGTCAAGACAATCTCCTGCAGTTCAAACCGAGCATCAGTATGGGGAAGAAAGGTGATTTGAGTGACTTTGAACGTGGCATGATTGTTGGTGCCAGAAGGGCTGGTCTGAGTATTTCAGAAACTGCTAATCTACTGGGATTTTCACGCACAACCATCTCTAGGGTTTACAGAGAATGGTCCGAAAAAGAAAAAACATCCAGTGAGCGGCAGTTCTGTGGGCGGAAATGCCTTGTTGATGCCAGAGGTCAGAGGAGAATGGCCAGACTGGTTCGAGCTGATAGAAGGGCAACAGTGACTGAAATAACCACTCGTTACAACCGAGGTATGCAGCAAAGCATTTGTGAAGCCACAACACGCACAACCTTGAGGCGGATGGGCTACAACAGCAGAAGACTCCACCGGGTACCACTCATCTCCACTACAAATAGGAAAAAGAGGCTACAATTTGCAAGAGCTCACCAAAATTGAACAGTTGAAGACTGGAAAAATGTTGCCTGGTCTGATGAGTCTCGATTTCTGTTGAGACATTCAGATGTTAGAGTCAGAATTTGGCGTAAACAGAATGAGAACATGGAACCATCATGCCTTGTTACCACTGTGCAGGCTGGTGGTGGTGGTGTAATGGTGTGGGGGATGTTTTCCTGGCACACTTTAGGCCCCTTAGTGCCAATTGGGCATCGTTTAAATGCCACGGCCTACCTGAGCATTGTTTCTGACCATGTCCATCCCTTTATGGCCACCATGTACCCATCCTCTGATGGCTACTTCCACCATGTCACAAAGCTCTAATCATTTCAAATTGGTTTCTTGAACATGACAATGAGTTCACTGTACTAAAATGGCCTCCACAGTCACCAGATCTCAACCCAATAGAGCATCTTTGGGATGTGGTGGAACGGGAGATTCGCATCATGGATGTGCAGCCGACAAATCTGCGGCAACTGTGTGATGCCATCATGTCAATATGGACCAAACTCCCTGAGGAATGCTTCCAGCACCTTGTTGAATCTATGCCACGAAGAATTGAGGCAGTTCTGAAGGCAAAAGGGGGTCCAACCCGTTACTAGCATGGGGTACCTAATAAAGTGGGCGGTGAGTGTATACATATATTACATAATACATAATATAGCATAATATTATTGTATTGGCTGAAAGAATTGGCTACACTACAATTCTACATTGCAAAAGTTTTGGGTCAGTAAGTTTTTTATAATTTGTATTTTATTCAGCAAGGATGCATTAAATTGGTCAAAAGTGAAGACTTTTAAAACATTTGAAAACGATTGTGCTGCTTAATATATATATATATATATATATATATATATATATATATATATATTCAGGATTCTTTGATAACTAGAAAGATATTTGGAAGAACTTTTCAACATTGATAATAAGAAATGTTTCTTGGTCAGCAAATCACCATATTTCTGAATGGAATGATTTCTGAAGGATCAGGTGCCCCTGAAAAAATGGAAAACTATTTTAAAATGTAATGATATTTCATAATATTAATATTTTACTATATTTCTGAATACATAAATTCAGCCTTGATGGACATTAGAATCTTTTTTCAGAAACATTGAAAGTCTAGCCGAACTCAAACTTTTGAATGTTAGTCTAATTCATAAAAAGCATGATCTCTTATTGGTTAAAAAGAACAATGCCTCTTATTAAGAACAAAATAAATATCAAAAGTAACAGAAGAAACCATAAAATGACACAGTAAAAATGTTTTTTATTTGTACACATTTTTTATTGTGATTCTTTTCATTTTAGTAGGTTTAATATACATGTTTTAATGATTTCACATTGGTTCCTAAGAACACTTTTCATTGTGGTAAAATCACTGTAACAGTTTCTCGCGCTGCTTATTGCTTTTGCAGTAAAAGGGACTGCTGAATGTGGAGTATTTTTGCCTCTCATACTTTATTTATGTTTTATGGGAACCGTGTCCACACACAGAAGATGCACCTCTTTTAATAACTAACACATTTATCTGTTTCTTCATCGCTCTCACTTAATGCAGTCCTGCCCACTAAAAGCCACTAAAGCGACAGTTAACTTGAGTAAAGTTCATTGAACGATGTAAATTCTGGTCAGTTTCTAATTAATTTCAAAGCAATTTAATCTTTATCAAATGTCAACAAGCTAGCCAAGCCGGTTTGATTCCCCAGAGCAACCACCCTTAAGACACCACCTCTAATGCAAGGCTTAATTCTCATTCCTTAAGTAACTCACACACAGACACAGATCATACACTCACATTCTCATAAGACACCACCTCTAATGCAAGGCTTAATTCTCATTCCTTAAGTAACTCACACACAGACACAGATCATACACTCACATTCTCATGTTCAAACCCTGAGTGCACCATGACTAATCAGAGGTTCAAGCCATGTTCAGTGCCACACATACAAATTCACAAAACACACACAGAAGAACATCTGCTGCATCCAGTGGAGTGCCAGAGAAAGGGTCTCCGTCTCCCAGATGCAGGGAGTTTTTCTGCCATCCCTGATCAATTAAACGCCTACAGCAATTCCTTGAATGAGAGAGAGGGTGAAGGACTGAACAGTTGCATGCAGTTTCCACTTTCCACATTGACTTGGTTTCTCACTGTAAAGATGTCAATCAAATATAATGCTGCACTATTATCGTAATTACTGTAAATAAAGCTCAGTATGATTTCGAATCGCTGTTATTGTACTTTGATGTCGTGCACCGATCGATCTGCACAGTGCCGAACACACCTTAAATCTGCAGTGGTACAGAGGCCACATGGTACAAGTTGTAGCTCTTAGAAAATTACGAGTTTACATGTTGTAATTACAAGTTCTGCAATCACGTGAAGGCTTTTTACTGTTCAGAATCGTACAACATGCCACCTTTAAAATGTGTGATGGCAGAATGCTAATAACAGAAAATGTGTTGATAATAATTGGTAAAACAATCATTCTTCTGACAATATTTGTTCAAGAATGTGTTCAACTGGAAGTAGGACATATTGAGTTTGTTAGTAATAACCCATGATGTATTACCCCATATAAATAATTCAATACTCTGTGATATTGTTCAAAGCTTTTGTTGCAGACTCTGCGATGCTTTCTCATTTGTACTGATATTGACATGTCTGCATATATTTCCCTGATACATGTTATTCATGTGTTTATCTTTTAGTGGAGGTGAGTCCAACAGCAAAGAAGAAACCTGAACCCGAGGCAGAAAAAGAGAATGAGAAGAAAGAAGTCAAGGGAGATGATCCGCAAGTTGCAGGTGAGATTACACATCAGTTACATACTGTTTTTCCCACAGAATAAAGAAGAATTACAGAAAATAAGAGCTTAGATTTATAAGACAAAAAAAAAATATGGAGAGTTAAAGGTGATGCATATATTTTATGGTATAATACTTTATATTATCCAGCTTAATTGCAGAGGATGATTATAAATTAGCCATATGTAGTGTGATTCCTCCGAAAAATGTAAACACTGACTTAAAAGTTGATAATCGAAACATCTATATATAATAATTAGTGTGACCGGTAAAATCTGATAGTTGTGCATCTTAATAATGGCTCCAACATTGTATCTGATACACTTCTACCATATTGCCTAAGGTTTTTATATTGTGAATCTGGTTATTCCTCTCACTGATAAGGCCAGTAATGATTTATAGATAGTTACAAGTTGAATTTAAGTTAAAGTGAAAGTTTAATTAGATGCGGAAAGTTTTCTGGCATGTGCGACTTGATAAGCATAACACCACTGATCAAAGGAAAGCTGAGGAGCTGGTAAATGAAATTAGTTCATAATGACAAGAGTCTATCATTGAGTTCTAATGGACCGAGTGTGATTTGTTCACTTTATGAAGGAATTATGTGTATGGGAAAAGCAGTGCAGTACAGCCGAAAATGTATTTGCACACTTAGGCCATTAAAAATGAATGTCATTAGATACAAAATATTAAATCTTGTGGCGTCTGCAAACAAATTCTCAAAATTCTCCCTTTTCTCAGAAATTGACTTAGCTTTTTTTTAACCTGGTGGTCTTTAGTTAAAGATAAAGAAAATCAGAGAAACTACAGGTATAGTTCATCACATTAATATTTTGACATTTTCCAAGAAGTCTGGAATCCGGAAATGTCCAAATACGTCTCGATTTTGAATTTTGTTGAAAAAAATGCTTGAAGTGAAGTCTTTCACTTCACTTCATGCAGTTTGCTGTGAACATTTGTTATCTAATGTAATTGCATTCATAATGAAATTCAGCAGCCCTCCAAAGTCATTACTGGCTTCCTATAAAGGATTTGAGAGCTTGGAAAGCTCTATTCTTGTCATCAAAGATGTGACGGCCAATTTTTCCCTCTCAAAAAGAGCGAATTTTTTTTCTTCCTGTTTTTATTTTATTTTTATTTATTTTTATTGTGTATTGATTGATTGTTCTCTATGCACTTCATATGCGTTGTGAAATTAAAATATTCTGAAAAGAGTCCGCCGGGATGGCTGGTTTATAACTTGGATGCCGAGGAATTTCCTAATCTCTCAATTTGTCATGAAAATCCTATTAGTAAAGCCATTACACAGGTTTTCAAATTTGACATTTTGTGTGTTAAACCGTGTGGGTTTTTTTTTTAACTCGCCAAACGTACAAAGCGCTGACGTCTTAATACAAGCCTGCTATCTGTGACCACACAGCCTTATTAAACGCAGACAACTTAAAGCTGAAAACAAACACACAGTGTAGTGTTTTCTCACAGGCATAAGCTGTCAAAAAGCTGTCAGTCGTTTGAGGCAGTACGAGAGGGCAGAAGAAACAGCTGTCGTGTTCTTAATGTTCTAAGTTTCCTACAGGAGATCAAGTAGTCTAATGCGCTTCTCCTGCATTTGGCAGATAGTAAATATGCTGTGTGTGTGTGCGCGTGTGCGTGTGTGCGCGCCACCTTAGGCAACAGATGAGCATCATCAAGGCCCGCTCTCTCCTTTTGCCATTTCCTTGATCGATTACTCAGCCTCAGATGAGGCCGTCCTCCCCTCACTCTCGAGGGCAGGGCTTCAAATTTGTCTCAGAGCCCCATTATTAAAAATGATAACTGTAATCTCACCGGCTGCCGGATCTGAATGAGGAAATAAAGGGACGGTAATTCTGAACTGGATGAATTATGAATGGAGCTTTTTGAGAAGTGAGCAAGTCGGAAAGGACAATGTTATTGGATTAGTATTGTTGTTTTTTTATCCGTTAATATGTTAATCTGTCTGGTTCTGTAAAGGGGAAGAGAAAGAGAAAGAGGATAGCCCAGGAAAGAAGATGCTGACAGGCCAGACTGATGAAGCGGGAAAACTGATGGAAGGTAAGACCAGTATCATCACCTCATTAAAGATAGGGAGAGAGAAGCACATGGCACATTTTAATTCTTTAAAGCTTTAGAGGCTAAATCCCATGTTTTTTGTTGTAAGAACTATTAGATTTGTTTCATAAACTATAATGTATAAATGTAATATTAGTTCTTAAATATTATTCTTATTTATTTCATTAATTGAAAGTATATTGGTCCCAAACCACCCCATGCTGTGAGACAGATTCATTTAAATAAGTTTAATTAAAACTAATTTTATTCATTATATATTTGATTCATTCAAATATATAAATTATATATATTTTTTCTATTTATTACATTTATATATTAATGTAGCCTATTATAAATATTACATATATAATAGATCACTATTATTTATATATATATATATATTATCATTTATTATATATTTATTAATTATTTGATATATTATTAATTTAATATTTATTTCCAGAAAATCAGGGTTTAAATGGTATTCATACAAATTTTGGTAACAGGTTTGCAAAAAATCTCTTTGACAAATGAACGGAAAATAACATTTCCGACCTCCTGTTTTTGAAGAGTTAGAATTACTTTCACCGACCATTTGTTTAAAAAGAAGAACAAAAAACATCCCTATTTTATACCCTGTTCATAGTAATTGAATGTGTAACATTATTTCCTTATACAAAGCAGTTATACATAACCGGACTATGTATAGATGAGGTGTGTCTGCAACGTGTTCACACATTCATTCAATTATGCCCACTATTTGGCCACACAAAACTTGATTAAAGTGTTATGTACACAGATAATGGGTAACGATTCCCATTTAGACACAAGCGACAGACTAATACAAACACAAACACACACACACTTACACAAACACGCCAGTACCAGATGTTAAACACGGAGAAGGTGAGATCGATACAACATATTTAAGAGGATAAAGCCAAGCTCGTCACCTCACCATACGGCGCTTTTAACAAACACACGCTCACGTTCACACACAAAACAGCCTTCCATAACACCTCAGCCGAGTGTTTCTGAATGCTGTTGGCACATGGTCATTAGGGCACTGCTGCCAATTTTATGCAGGTGTGTCGCTTGTGTAACTTATAAAGTCTAATGGTTGCACTTGTTAGCATGGGCTCTGAATAAAAGCATCTACTAAATCATTGACTTACATGGAAAACAACAACCACAAATAAGGAGCCCTCAGCTCGAAAGGCTTGTTTCGAAAGTCTGCATCAATATTAAAAACATAAAATTGTTTGCTCAAGTACCTAGACTTTCACGTCCAACTTGTTCACATGCTTTTCCCCTGAACAAGCCCTGTACGATTGATTTGATGATTTTGTGAAATATTCATAAATTAAATACATTTCTCTTAGCCTGAAGGCACCTATGAATAAGTCTGGCTTTGCTAACGGAGGGTGTTTTTTTGGGCCGTGGTGTATTGGGCTCCTGCGGTGGGAGTCGATATCGCCTCTTCGCCTGCATGCAGGTGAGATTTACTGCGACGGCTGCTGAGCCTCAGTGGCTCTGAATCCAATCAGAGTTTGTCTCCTCATCTCTCACAGTCTGCCTGATGAAGGTGGGGGTTTTCACTCGCATCAAACCGAGGTTTGGCCTGTTTCTGCATGTCGTTTTTTGATTACATCTTGAAAATCGCAAGACTTATTTTGCCTGATTAAATCTGATATTGCAGTGATAATGTGAATCGACCACAGACTATCACACATGATGGTTGGAGAACAGGTGGATCTTAGATCGGTGTAATGTTGTTTTTGGAAAGCTTAAGAATCCCCTGTGCTGTGTCAGATGCTTGTGTCTGTTTAGGACTTCTGGCAGAAAGAGAGTTTTGAGTTTTATGTGTAGGGCAAGCTGTAAGGCCACAAACAAGATATGTGCTGGTGTATCAGTTGATAAAGAGGGTTGAAGCTGTGATTTACATCATGTTAAAAATGTGGAGGCAAAGAACCACCCCTAGGCTTGGATTATCCTTCTTATACCATGGTCATTTGCCAGCATTGACAACTTAAAGCTGTTATTAATGTTTGCAGCTCAATATTTGACCGGAAGGGTAAAATTGACGGTTATTTTCGTCAGTTATGGCTAGTTAGATCTAGCATTCTGCCTGCTTCGAATCAGACACAGAGATAAAGTAGTGTGGTAAGATTACATTTATTTGAATGAATGAATGAATGAATGAATGAATGAATGAATAACATTTATTTGAATTCATTATCGAGAGAGGGAGTAGTGATTCAGGTAGCGAAGCTATTTTATTACTAAAAGTCGCTGGGCAGCGTTGATAAGTTTCTGTTCTTCTGAATGTTTCTGTGTGCGCGAAGCACGATCTCCGCTCTCTGTGTATGAGTGACGTATGTGTGTGTGCGCTTCAATGAAAACAGCGCATTAATATAGAGACGGATTTGGAACTACGTGTGCATTAAATGGTTTTATTGCACACCTTCAAGCCAAGAATTGAGTATTCAGACAGATCATGGTATAATATAATATAAAAAGGTTGGATCCGAAATCACATACTTCCCTACTATATAGTTGGCGAAAAACAGTATGTGACAAAAGAAGTATGTCCGAATTCACAGTACTTATAAAAGAGTATAGGCATAAAGTAACCGGATGAACCGAGATTCTGAAGTGTGCACAAGATGGACACTTCACTATCCCATGAGGCCACGGGAGAGGATTTGTGAATGGCAGTGACGTGACGCAATTGACGCTGGTAGATCACGTGATTATGATAACATGGTGAATGTAGTTCATCCAGATTACATTCATACTACACACATTCATATAGAACGTTATTTTTTTAGCAGTGTGTTCACACATTCATTCAATTATGCCCACTATTTGGCCACACAAAACTTGATTAAAGTGTTATGTACACAGATAATGGGTAACGATTCCCATTTAGACACAAGCGACAGACTAATACAAACACAAACACACACACACTTACACAAACACGCCAGTACCAGATGTTAAACACGGAGAAGGTGAGATCGATACAACATATTTAAGAGGATAAAGCCAAGCTCGTCACCTCACCATACGGCGCTTTTAACAAACACACGCTCACGTTCACACACAAAACAGCCTTCCATAACAGTATGTGACAAAAGAAGTATGTCCGAATTCACAGTACTTATAATGTTAGTTATACTTATGAAGTTATTATTGAAATAAGTACTCAAGATAGTATGTGATTTCTACAAGTCTACATACATATGTGTTCTTTTTTATTACATTGAGAAAATTCTAGTTCATCTTTGTCATGTTGCTCACTTGAAGTGTATATTTTATAGTTAATTATAGTTATAGTTTGTAGTAATAATCAGTACAAATTAATGAACCCAATTACCAACCATGCTTATCGCATTTGGTACTTAAGTTTTTTTTTGGTTGTAAAATAATGATGCTTAAGCACCATAAACAGAATTGAAATATACTTAGTACAACTAATGCTGTAATCAGCACTTCAAGGGCACTCTTTTAATGATTCATTGTACAGGCCTGGTGCTTTTTGTTTCAGTGTTTTCTGTTTGTAACTGGAGATGTATTGTTTTTCCTCCTTATTTGTGGCTGTTATATACCAAACAAATTTGTATCTCAATCTTTCATTTCAAATTGAGACATTTTCATATCAAGCTAAATTTGTACTGTGGCATCCCTATCACAAACGTGAATGCAAATGCTTCGCACTGGATAGAGTGACCTTCATATATCTGTTCCATTAAAGTGGAAGAGATATTATTTATGGAGCTCATTATAAAGAGTTGCTTTATTTGCTGCTATATTGCTGCTTAATGTGTGATTTTCATATACCAACAGTTAGTGAAGTTTGTTTCACATCTTAGAATCATTGAAGCCAATGTTGTGTGAGGATAAAAACTTGAGAGGAGACCAAATGGAAAGAGAGGCAGAACGTGCTTTCGCTCCCGTTGTCTCTCGTTCTCAAGCACAGTGGGCAATCAGTGTTTCTCAGTGAGAAGAAGACCGTTCAGATTTGTTTCATTTTGGACACTTTTTTTTTAACTTGTTCTTTTACTCTCTCCAACCCTTTGTTTTCTGTCAGATGTCACGGTGAGGCTAAAATGGAGTAGTTTGCCAGCTTAACTCTTGGATATCAGTCAATATTCATCATTTCCTATCTAACATCCTCCGTAGTGAGATCACACGGCACCCATTCTCGTACCCATTCTTTTGCCTCTCCAAAAAGAATTTCTATTCACTCAGGAAATCATCAAAAGAAGTCATTGTTTATTTAAGTGCTATGCTCACTTATTTATTTGTTTACTTCTTCAAGCTACACCCACAGGAATCTCCATGTAACGTTGCCCGGGTTTGGATCTGCTGGGTTTTTGTTCCTCGTGTATTAACTATTGATTGCGGCCAAGTTTTCGAGACTGCGATTGTGACGCCATCCTAGTCGCTCGCACCAGGCTCCTGGTGAATGTGGCCCTGAGGCAGAAACCCAACAGTATCTGTGGCCATCTGTTGCTTGTGTTGAAGCCCTGCACATTTCTAGATTCTCAGTTCAGTAAAACCCACTGAACAACAAAGGATAGCACTTTTGCCAACTGCTTACATTTAGTCATCGTCAGACATCATTTTTTTCTTTATTATTCACATTGTTTGATTTAGGGGCCTATTCTCATTTTCCCCCAGTCGTGTCCCCGGCGGCAGCTATATATATTTTTCAGCAGCGTGACAAAGCTGGTTTTATAAAAGTCTAGCTTTTTCCAGTAATGACCTGCCTTTTCCACTTAGTGGCAGTGTAGTGCGACAAAGCATTGCAGGATTTGTTACATTCTTTTGCAAGTCAGATTCATTCATTTGAATCAGTTTGTTTGGACAGGTCATGTAAATGAATTGATTAAAAAAACAACCAATTCTTCTTTTTATTCACCTTATGTTGGGATGTGGAAGTAAGCTTTTTTCTGTGAATGTGCGGGCACTTCCGATTCATTAGCCGCTATAGTAAA